TTTTTCAATGATTCTACTTAAATCGCCCTTTAGCTGATCTATTAGAAATGGATCTAAGTTATATAGACCACTGCTAATATTCAAATTACTTTCTTTGGTGATCTTTGACCTCCATGACCCTTTGTTATTTTCCTCCCGCTGGACCCCGGAGCGTGTTGGTCAATGGAAGTACGTGGAGCGTTATGAGGCGTTCAAATAGTTCAAATATATTGAACTAATTTGAAATTTTGGTAATATATTGAACTAATTTGGGTAAGATCCTCCTAGAGTGTATATGTGTACACTCACTTAGTTGTATTCACCTATTTGTGCTGCGGGGGGTTGAGCTCTGCTTTTTCGTCCTGCCTCTCAACTGTCAATCAATCAGCTGTTACTAACTAATGATTAACTATTTTTTCCCCTCTCCACACACACACACACACACACACACACACACACACACACACACACACACACACACACACACACACACACACACACACAAGGAGCAGCCCGTAGCAGCTGACAAACTCCCAGGTACCTATTTACTGCTAGGTAACAGGCGCATCAGGGTTAAGGAAACTCTGCCCATCTGTCTCCGCCAGGTGCGGGGATCGAACCCCGGTCCCTAGGTCTACAAGTCTAGAGCGCTGTCCACTCGGCCACCCAGTGTGTGTGTGTGTGTGTGTGTGTGTGTGTGTGTGTGTGTGTGTGTGAGTGAGAGTGTATGTGTGTGTAATTACCTAAGTGTAATTACCTAAGTGTAGTTACAGGATGAGAACTACGCTCGTGGTGTCCCGTCTTCCCAGCACTCTTTGTCATATAACGCTTTGAAACTACTGACGGTCTTGGCCTCCACCACCTTCTCCCCTAACTTGTTCCAACCGTCTACCACTCTGTTTGCGAAAATGAATTTTCTTATATTTCTTCGGCATCTGTGTTTAGCTAGTTTAAATCTATGACCTCTTGTTCTTAAAGTTCCAGGTCTCAGGAAATCTTCCCTATCGATTTTATCAATTCCTGTTACTATTTTTTATGTAGTGATCATATCACCTCTTTTTCTTCTGTCTTCTAGTTTTGGCATATTTAATGCCTCTAACCTCTCCTCGTAGCTCTTGCCCTTCAGTTCTGGGAGCCACTTAGTAGCATGTCTTTGCACCTTTTCCAGTTTGTTGATGTGTGAGTGTGTGTGCGTACTCGCCTAGTTGTGTTTGCGGTGGCTGAACTTTGGCTCTTTGGTCCCGCCTCTCAACTGTCAATCAACTGGTCGAATCATATTTGTGGGTTGAGTTAATCATTATAATGTGTTCATTCTCCTTTATGTTCATTGTAATGGATTCATTCTGCATCATTTTTATTCCAGTGTGTTCACCCTATATCATGACGAGTTCTGTTTGTTCATTCTGCATATTTGTTCATGTTTGTTCGGTTAGTGTTCAATGGATTGTATAATGAACACACTTCGACACTCTCATTGTTGTTCTTTCATCATCAAGGTCATCCCAATCACCAGGAACAAACAGCAGAAAGAATATGCTCAGATTCCCTATTAGCGAGCACCAAGAATGTGAACGAAAATCACATTCCTTATTCATGACTAATGGCCAACTCTATCAGTCATTTGAGAGTTCTCGGAATAACACGAAAGATCTCTTGATATGATTGAGAGATTGATTACTTATATATATATATATATATATATATATATATATATATATATATATATATATATATATATATATATATATATATATATATATATATATATATATATATATATATGTGTGTATATCACGAAAATAAACACGTGATTAAGAATGTGACAATGTCAGACCACGGAGGAAAAATGAAACAGGAAATTTTCCTTAAGTACTTTCGTATATTAAATACATCTTCAGAAGGTCAAACCTTCTGAAGATGTATTTAATATACGAAAGTACTTAAGGAAAATTTCCTGTTTCATTTTTCCTCCGTGGTCTGACATTGTCAATATATATATATATATATATATATATATATATATATATATATATATATATATATATATATATATATATATATATATATATATATATATATATATATATTGCAATCTTGGATCTTACATATTTTTGGAAGCAATGATGTTTTCGTGTCAAATTGTGGGATTCAAGATTGTTGGTCGAATCAAGACAGACAGACAGACATATGACGTCACCACAAAGCCATACGAGAATTATGAAATCATCATTAAAAAAATCATATTTACATAACATATAATAAATATTTGAAAAAATTGCACATTGTGTGCAGTTAATAAAAACTTCTTTAACAATGATTTTTTAAGGAATTGTATGATACAATAGTGTGACACAGACCAGGTGACGTCAGTCCCAAACACACCAGGTGACCTCAGCCCCAAACACACCAGGTGACCTCAGCCCCAAACACACCAGGTGACGTCAGCCCCAAACACACCAGGTCACACCAGGTGACGTCAGCCCCAAACACACCAGGTGACGTCAGCCCCAAACACACCAGGTGACGTCAGCCCCAAACACACCAGGTCACGTCAGTCCCAAACACACCAGGTCACGTCAGTCCCAAACACACCAGGTGACGTCAGTCCCAAACACACCAGGTCACGTCAGCCCCAAACACACCAGGTCACGTCAGCCCCAAACACACCAGGTCACGTCAGCCCCAGACACACCAGGTGACGTCAGCCCCAGACACACCAGGTGACAAGTCCTGAGTGTCAGCCCTCAATACTAACCATCCTGAGTGGCGTGTGTGTGTGGGGGGGGGGGGAAGGTGTTGAAGCACCTTTCAACAACCACTCTGAGCGTCATCGTCGAGGCCTGCTGTCCCCAGACAGACAGTCAGAGTGGTAGACAGACATGGAGACAGAACGAGAGACAGACAGACAGACATACATACCCTGTTGATCCGATCACTACACTATATCACCTCGAGAACACTACAACACATGTATTATACAATATTATACAATAATAAACTTTATTTTTACACTACAACACGTCCTTCATTCAATATAATGCAAGTCCGAAAATTGCCGATAATATATGTACTAAAAAAGCATATATAACCCCTCCAATTCGACATGTATAATAGGCAATATAAATAGGTTCATCCAATTCATCAAAGAAATAGATCATTTGTCCAGCTGCGAGCAGGCCGTAAGGTTCTGATCTGATATTACAAGCCAATTTCCAATTTAAAGCTGATATTTCGGCAAATGTTTGAAACCATAGCTGCTTGCGAAGCTGGAGCACTAGAGGAGCATTCTTATCCTTGTGGAGGTCGACTTGGAGCATCATTGGATCCTTTTCATTCATGGAGGGTCAGCTTGGAGCATTTTGTCTGCTTGGAGCATTTTGTCTGGAGCATTTTGTCTGCTTGGAGCATTTTGTCTACTTAGAGCATTTTGTCTGCTTAGAGCATTTTGTCTGCTTGGAGCATTTTGTCTGCTTGGAGCATTTTGTCTGCTTAGAGCATTTTGTCTGCTTAGAGCATTTTGTCTGCTTGGAGCATTTTGTCTGCTTAGAGCATTTTGTCTGCTTGGAGCATTTTGTCTACTTGGAGCATTTTGTCTGCTTGGAGCATTTTGGATTTTGGAAAATCAATCTGAGGGCATATATATACGTAGCATTCTCATCCACGTAAGGTCAAAATACAGCTCAAATCCTTTTGGTATACGAGCAATGGTGTTTGCATAATAGGCCCATGCAGGCCTAAATAATAGATACGTTGCAAATGCAGATGCGTTGCTTTTGTTTTAACTGCAACAGATCAACGCAGTCTTCACAGTCCTGTGTAGCTTCACTGGACTTTGGCAGACTGTTTTGACTCATGGTGTTTACATAATTATGTTCATGCCAGTGAACTGGGGGGACTGGGGGACTGAGGGACTGGGGGACTCGGGACTGGGAGACGGGACTGGGGGACTGGGTGACTGGGGACTGAGGATAGGAGAACTGGAGACTGAGGGACTGGAGACTGGGGGACTGAGGACTGGAGACTGGGGGACTGGGAGACTGGGGGACTAGGGACTTGGCTGTTTTGCAACTGCATACGTTGTTAAGCATATATATGTAGCTCTGAACTAGACATACCAAGAACTACTCGCAACTAAGCTAGAAATCTATTAGAATCTTATTAGTAATTGAACATATCTAATCTACAATTCAATACCACCCGACAAGAATTGTGTTCCACCGATGTAGAACATCACACACACCTCTGTTCTAAAATTACACTTTTCTCATCTAGAATTACACTTCTCTCATCTAGAATTACACTTCTCTCATCTAGAATTACACTTCTCTCATCTAGAATTACACTTCTCTTGTCTAGAATTACACTTCTCTTGTCTAGAATTACACTTCTCTTATCTAGAATTACACTTCTCTTGTCTAGAATTACACTTCTCTTGTCTAGAATTACACTTCTCTTGTCTAGAATTACACTTCTCTTATCTAGAATTACACTTCTCTTATCTAGAATTACACTTCTCTCATCTAGAATTACATTTCTCTTATCTAGAATTACACTTCTCTCATCTAGAATTACACTTCTCTCATCTAGAATTACACTTCTCTCATCTAGAATTACACTTCTCTTATCTAGAATTACACTTCTCTTATCTAGAATTACACTTCTCTCATCTAGAATTACACTTCTCTCATCTAGAATTACACTTCTCTCATCTAGAATTACACTTCTCTCATCTATAATTACATTTCTCTCATCTATAATTACACTTCTCTCATCTAGAATTACACTTCTCTCATCTAGAATTACACTTCTCTCATCTAGAATTACACTTCTCTCATCTATAATTACACTTATCTCGTCTATAATTCCACACTTTTCATCAAGACATTCACACCTGTGATCTAGAATTACTGACTGAGATGTTTACAACTTTAACATACAACAACACACCTATTTCTAGATACTTAAACTTTTAACCTAGAATAGCAATCCCTCAGAACAAACCCCCTCATCTAGAATACGCCATGCTGCAAGCAGCAGAGGAACCAGCAGAGGAAGCAGCAGAGGAAGCAGCAGAGGAAGCAGCAGAGGAAGCAGCAGAGGAAGCAGCAGAGGAAACAGCAGAGGAAGCAGCAGAGGAAGCAGCAGAGGAACAGAGGAAGCAGCAGCAGAGGAAGCAGCAGAGGAAGCAGCAGAGGAAGCAGCAGAGGAAAGCAGAGGAAGCAGCAGAGGAAGCAGCAGCAGGAAGCAGCAGAGAGCAGATGAAGCAGCAGAGGAAGCAGCAGAGGAAGCAGCAGAGGAAGCAGCAGAGGAAGCAGCAGAGGAAGCAGCAGAGGAAGCAGCAGAGGAAGCAGCAGAGGAAGCAGCAGAGGAAGCAGCAGAGGAAGCAGCAGAGGAAGCAGCAGAGGAAGCAGCAGAGGACGCAGCAGAGGAAGCAGCAGTGGAAGCAGCAGAGGACGCAGCAGAGGCAGCAGCAGGAAGCAGCAGAGGAAGCAGCAGAGAAGCAGCAGAGGAAGCAGCAGAGGAAGCAGCAGAGGAACAGCAACAGGAAAGCAGCAGAGGAAGCAACAGAGGAAGCAGCAGAGGAAGCAGCAGAGGAAGCAGCAGAGGAAGCAGCAGAGGAAGCAGCAGAGGAAGCAGCAGAGGAAGCAGCAGAGGAACCAGCAGAGGAAGCAGCAGAGGAAGCAGCAGAGGAAGCAGCAGAGGAAGCAGCAGAGGAAGCAGCAGAGGAACCAGCAGAGGGAACAGCAGAGGAAGCAACAGAGGAAGCAACAGAGGAAGCAGCAGAGGAAGCAGCAGAGGAAGCAGCAGAGGAAGCAGCAGAGGAAGCAGCAGAGGAAGCAACAGAGGAAGCAACAGAGGAAGCAGCAGAGGAAGCAACAGAGGAAGCAACAGAGGAAGCAGCAGAGGAAGCAGCAGAGGAAGCAGCAGAGGAAGCAGCAGAGGAAGCAGCAGAGGAAGCAGCAGAGGAAGCAGCAGAGGAAACAGCAGAGGAAGCAGCAGAGGAAGCAGCAGAGGACGCAGCAGAGGACGCAGCAGAGGACGCAGCAGAGGACGCAGCAGAGGAAGCAGCAGAACAATCACCCCCACACTCAGGAGTGGAGGCACTCAACAATCACCTCCACACTCAGGAGTGGAGGCACTCAACAATCACCTCCACACTCAGGAGTGGAGGCACTCAACAATCACCTCCACACTCAGGAGTGGAGGCACTCAACAATCATTATCCACACTCATTTCTTCCTCGTTAAACATAGATAATGAAATTTAGTGGATGAAGAAAAGGCAAACAAAAAAATGCGAGAGAATGAGAGAGATTGAGATTGGATGTGAAAATCTGTGTCGAGCAAACACCGTAGCCTGGCCAAACACCGTAGCCTGGCCAAACACCGTAGCCTGGCCAAACACCGTAGCCTGGCCAAACACCGTAGCCTGGCCAAACACCGTAGCCTGGCCAAACACCGTAGCCTGGCCAAACACCGTAGCCTGGCCAAACACCGTAGCCTGGCCAAACACCGTAGCCTGGCCAAACACCGTAGCCTGGCCAAACACCGCAGCCTGGCCAAACACCGTAGCCTGGCCAAACACCGTAGCCTGGCCAAACACCGTAGCCTGGCCAAACACCGTAGCCTGGCCAAACACCGTAGCCTGGCCAAACACCACAGCCTGGCCAAACACCGTAGCCTGGCCAAACACCGTAGCCTGGCCAAACACCGTAGCCTGGCCAAACACCGTAGCCTGGCCAAACACCGTAGCCTGGCCAAACACCACAGCCTGGCCAAACACCACAGCCTCGCCAAACACCGTAGCCTGGCCAAACACCGCAGCCTGGCCAAACACCGTAGCCTGGCCAAACACCGTAGCCTGGCCAAACACCGTAGCCTGGCCAAACACCGTAGCCTGGCCAAACACCGTAGCCTGGCCAAACACCGTAGCCTGGCCAAACACCGTAGCCTGGCCAAACACCGTAGCCTGGCCAAACACCGTAGCCTCGCCAAACACCGTAGCCTGGCCAAACACCGTAGCCTGGCCAAACACCGTAGCCTGGCCAAACACCGTAGCCTGGCCAAACACCGTAGCCTCGCCAAACACCGTAGCCTCGCCAAACACCGTAGCCTCGCCAAACACCGTAGCCTCGCCAAACACCGTAGCCTGGCCAAACACCGTAGCCTCGCCAAACACCGTAGCCTCGCCAAACACCGTAGCCTGGCCAAACACCGTAGCCTCGCCAAACACCGTAGCCTGGCCAAACACCGTAGCCTCGCCAAACACCGTAGCCTGGCCAAACACCGTAGCCTGGCCAAACACCGTAGCCTGGCCAAACACCGTAGCCTGGCCAAACACCGTAGCCTGGCCAAACACCGTAGCCTGGCCAAACACCGTAGCCTGGCCAAACACCGTAGCCTGGCCAAACACCGTAGCCTGGCCAAACACCGTAGCCTGGCCAAACACCGCAGCCTGGCCAAACACCGTAGCCTCGCCAAACACCGTAGCCTGGCCAAACACCGTAGCCTGGCCAAACACCGTAGCCTGGCCAAACACCGTAGCCTGGCCAAACACCGTAGCCTGGCCAAACACCGTAGCCTGGCCAAAGACCACAGCCTCGCCAAAGACCACAGCCTCGCCAAAGACCACAGCCTGGCCAAAGACCACAGCCTGGCCAAAGACCACAGCCTGGCCAAAGACCACAGCCTCGCCAAAGACCACAGCCTGGCCAAAGACCACAGCCTGGCCAAAGACCACAGCCTGGCCAAAGACCACAGCCTGGCCAAAGACCACAGCCTGGCCAAAGACCACAGCCTGGCCAAAGACCACAGCCTGGCCAAAGACCACAGCCTGGCCAAAGACCACAGCCTCGCCAAAGACCACAGCCTGGCCAAACACCACAGCCTGGCCAAACACCACAGCCTGGCCAAAGACCACAGCCTGGCCAAACACCACAGCCTGGCCAAACACCACAGCCTGGCCAAACACCACAGCCTGGCCAAAGACCACAGCCTGGCCAAACACCACAGCCTGGCCAAAGACCACAGCCTGGCCAAAGACCACAGCCTGGCCAAACACCACAGCCTGGCCAAACACCACAGCCTGGCCAAACACCACAGCCTGGCCAAACACCACAGCCTGGCCAAAGACCACAGCCTCGCCAAAGACCACAGCCTGGCCAAAGACCACAGCCTGGCCAAACACCACAGCCTGGCCAAAGACCACAGCCTGGCCAAAGACCACAGCCTGGCCAAACACCACAGCCTGGCCAAACACCACAGCCTGGCCAAACACCACAGCCTGGCCAAAGACCACAGCCTGGCCAAAGACCACAGCCTCGCAAAAAACACCACAGCCTGGCCAAACACCACAGCCTGGCCAAACACCACAGCCTGGCCAAACACCACAGCCTGGCCAAAGACCACAGCCTGGCCAAAGACCACAGCCTCGCAAAAAACACCACAGCCTCGCCAAAGACCACAGCCTGGCCAAAGACCACAGCCTCGCAAAAAACACCACAGCCTGGCCAAAGACCACAGCCTGGCCAAAGACCACAGCCTCGCCAAACACCACAGCCTGGCCAAAGACCACAGCCTCGCCAAACACCACAGCCTCGCCAAACACCACAGCCTGGCCAAACACCACAGCCTCGCCAAACACCACAGCCTCGCCAAACACCACAGCCTGGCCAAACACCACAGCCTCGCCAAACACCACAGCCTCGCCAAACACCACAGCCTCGCCAAACACCACAGCCTCGCCAAA